AACCACTGAAGTCTCAGAGAGGATACTCCAGAGAGTTGTTCAACGGAGATTCTGGCCTGGATAATGATTAAGGCATAAAATTTTAATTCTGTATCTGGCATACATGCATGCAAATTAGCTGGTTAACATAGAGGTATGCTACATTTTGTATCTGTATGCAGTATTCACCCAAGCAAATTCTACTTCTTTGTAAGAGTCTAGTCAACACATTTTCAAATATTATTTCAAAGGTGGAGAAAACTCCATTAGGATGCCACATAGTGGAAGAAATATTTTAAAATCATTCTTAAAAGACATTTGTTAGAATATTGTTGGCTAGTCATAAGGTATGCAATTCAGTGCACCTTATAATGATATTCCACTCTTGTGATGTAGTTCATATGGTTCAGTTTTACCCTTGGTTCAAATGTCATTATCCTTTGTTTCAAATGAATTTGCATCTATTCAATATTTTTGAAAAAGAAAAAAAAAGGAAAATTTAATGCAAACCAAGGAGAAAATTGATGGAAAAGCTCCACAGTATTCTGACTGTGAAATACCAGCAACTTTTGTGAAATGTCAGGTGTACCACAAGTAAGAGTTTAATGTTTGACTAACTAATACCTTGACATGAAAACCAGAAGATGCCAGTTCACAGTCAGTGCTTACATGAACAACAAGATCCCCCTTCTGAAAGAGGGGAGAGGAGTGGTTGACTTGTACCCTGGGATTTCTTTTAGCCATATGTAAAGGTACATTCATAGTTTAGTAAATTGAGGATCTTATTTCTTAACTTTCTAAACCAAGACCTTTCATATCTTATTATTAGCTGCACTTTTTATGTTGTGGTGCAAATAGCCAAAGGAAGCCCAAGCATGAGAATGCAAGGGAGAATTACATTATAAAACATTTATTGTCCACTGGACGCTAAAGAGTATTTAAGCAATAGACCGCACTTTCCATGTATCAGTCTTCCAGTGCAATAATCCATGTATGATTTTGGGAAAACATATGAAGAATTTGTAAGTCATGAGCTGGAGGTAAGTGATTTACAAATTTTTTTAAGTGTTCTTCTAACATTCCTCATGGGTTATTATGCAGGTAAACTAACAGAGAGTGGCCTTTAGCTTTTTTATGAAAAAAACTGAAAGCAGAACATAGTTGTCTGATTATTTAAACAAAGGTTAGCCATTGTTTAACAAAACCACATCCTAAACAATCCTCAATTTTGGTAAAAACAGTATAAAGAGGGCTGAAAGCTAACAGCAGAAGGGCATTTATTTAATTAAATCCTCCCCCTTATATACCTTAGGAAGCCTGAGGTCCACTGAATGTGCAAAACTGTGGTTTGGGTTACACTTTGTTTAAATAACCAGCCCAGTATGTTTCAATTTTTCTATGGGCTCATCAGTGCAATGAATGATAGGTTTCTGATCAATAAGGTTATAGATTAATTTTCATTTTCTTTTAAGATTGAATTTCCATGAAATCATTCATAAATATACAATTTAAATAGTGTAAAATTGGACCAAGACACAGTTTATGGCTCCAGCTGCATAACAGCTGGAGCCAAGAAGGAATACGTCTGAAACAGTTTTTTATTATGTGAATGATGTCAACCAAATGTTACCAAAGTCAGATTGTATATCCTTGACTTTATAACTGTTATGCTGCTCTGTAAGAATTGACACATTTTGATGTCATGTAGTTATAATAAAAATGATCAAAAGTTTGGAATGAAGAAATTAGGTCATAACGTTTTACATATTACCCAATATCAATTTTTATATCATTTTTGCTGCCATTTTTGCCATATAGAAGGGCTGTATATTTTAGGTTTGCTGCTTTCTCACAGTAACCCTAAAGGTGATACAAAAAGGCTGCAATAAATTATAAGTTTGCTGTGAGGGGTGTTAAGATATTATTCTAAGTAGTAATGGTGTACAAAGCAAAGAACAATTTAAGACTCAATTTAATGTTGAAAGTGATGACATTAATAATTTATTCTGTTAGATACAGGAAGAGAAATTACTGATGCTGTGTAAAGCTCTGGAAATGAATTTGATAGCAAGGCTACACAAAATGTAATCCATGGGGAACACCAAATTGAAAATTGACTGTAGACGAGCAATTGTCTGAAGAAAACTAGTTTTGGGTCCACTTATTTTAATTTTTAATGACATCTATCAAATTTGGCAGGATTTTCTTCAACCAGGCTCTTTAAATTAATTTCGCAAAGTCCCTTACGAATTTATTTTTCTAAGAAAATTTCCAAAAATGACACTTTCTATGACTATAGTCTACAAACCAGCTTGCATAGCAGGAGTGTGGAAAATATTTTGGGATCCTACTTTAGCATCCTAGTCAGGGGCATTTTTTGCCATATAAGAGGAGTAGACATGATCTGTAGGACCCCCTTCAGTAAGAGAGGAGAGAAGGGGTGGACGTGCACTCTGGGATTTTCTTTAGCCAGATGCATGCACTCCCGAGTAAATTCTTTCTTAACTCTCAAAACCAGGCTCTGTTCATGTGGAACTGAGTCTCTATCGCCTTAACGACCTTCGAGTGATGTTCAAGGAGTAGCAGGTAGGGCTCAAAATAAGAAAGTCTGATAGATTTTCCGAGCGGGGACGTCATTTAGCACGTAAACGGAATTGGAAAAATGCCAGGTTACTAAGTTAGTGAAGGAAAATGGCAGATCTGGGAGACGTCTTGTAAACAAAGCTGAAATAAAAGTAAAGCAGAACAAATGGCATGAAGTTGGTGTTGCAGTCTGGTTATGACTGAAGATTATTATGTCTCGGAAAAAACGTAGGAATAAAGGGCAACGTTCTGGAAAGCTTCAGAAAGCCCTGTGTAACAACGATGTGAATGGAAGAGGTAAGCTCAGTACTCTCTCCTAAATCTTGTTTAATAATAAGCAGCTATTAGAGCTTCGGGTCTCTTCCGACCTTTGTCTGAGCCATTTAATAAAGCTCTCATATAGCTTTTAATTTGTTGACTTGTAGAGATAAGTTCCCAATTTCGTCTATTGTGAATTGAAACATGAGGATTTTGAATGAAGAATGTTCTACTGTTGAATCCTTCCGAATCATTAAAATAATTTAAGCTTAAAAAATTGTAAATTCTACTCAATTGCAACTTTTCTAGGATTTCTTCTTTCTTAGCCTCTCAGTGATGGAGATTGAAATAAGGGTGAGGCGTTTAAACGAACTTGCGACGGCCGGTGATTTTTAGGGTTTCATTATTTCATCTGCACCTAATACCTACATCGGGTAGGTTTCCGGTCAAGGAATTTGGATTTTTAGCATTCTTTCAAAGCTACTCACGGACATTGAATGCCTCTGTTTACATTTTTAAGAGGTGGAAACAGAAAATCAAGGGTGCACGTTCTTGCCATCTTTAGCTTGAGTGCAGGTTAAAGAGGAACACGCCTTTGCAGAGAGAGGAGTGGAGGCTGCATAGTTAATTGGTGCATTTCACCTAGTCAACTGTAGTGGCTAGTTGTTTTAGAAATCTTTTCATAGTCATGTCATCTAATTCCATCTGTAATCATATGAAATTGGTTTCCTGTTTTGTGGTTGTTTGATTTTGTTTCTCACTCAAGTGATTACAGATTGAATTGGACTCTACTCAATTGTGTTTTCGTTAATATGGATGTTGGATGTGATTATAACACCGGTGGCATGTTACAGTGGAGGGTTCCTCCTGGCTAGTGTGTCTCATGAAACATAAATCATAACCCAACCTTATAGAGGTACCTCTTTGTGATATCATTGATCAATGTAGATTAATGCTACTGATACCAAAAATGTTTCAGATCCAGTGGTGGAAGACTTTGTTAATGCCAAACATGCAAAGGAAGCACTCAAGCGAGTGTCAAAAGGATTTTCATCAAGTGCAAGTATGTTTGATACAAGTTATGCATATAAGTGCTCTTGGCATAAAAATGAAAGAGATTCTGGTGTAACTCTCTATAATGTAAAGGATCATTGACTTCTTTACTGCTTAAATTTAATTCTAGCCCATAGAAATATTTTTTTTAATGATGTAAATGAGTTATTAATTTAAGGGCATTTAAACAGTTTTGATAGTTTTTCGTGCTAATCTTTTGATTATCAGAATTCATTGTTTGTTCTTCTGTGTTCTTCAAAGTGATATGACATTTAAAACAGGCATATAATTTCTCTACAAATCTTTGCTCATTCTTTTGACAAAACAAAGTTTAAAATTGTTCATCTAAGGTTTAGAGGATGTGCATACTATCTCAGGTATTTTATCAATGAAGGCATTGTTCCCATAACAATGTGTTTTATTATCGAACAATATACCCCTAAAATTTAACAACCTCTGAAGTATGGCAGTCTACCTAATCATGGTTCGTGAGAATACATTGCATGGGATATTATAGATTAAAAGCATGTGATATGTATGTTCCTTTTACAGCAGCAATAGTTACTGAAGCAGAAAAAGAAAACATGATCCCCTGGTATGACAGAACTGACTTTGATTCACTGTCTGATGAAGAGGATGAGAAGTCATCAATTGATATCCATGAACAACAATCCACATCAACTTCCAGATCACAAAGATCAAAGAGGAAAACAAAGGATACTCCACACACAGAGTGTAACAAGAATGGTTTGTTATATCCGCTTGATATATGGTGTTTGCTAGCACAGTATATTGATCCTGAACATGTGCAAAAGTTTGCACTGATCTGTAGAGGAGCAAGGCAAGCCACAAACACAAGGATGTTTTGGTGTAGAATCTATAAATGTTACATTAGTAGGCCAAACAAGCTACCTGAACGACTACAACCACATAGAATAGAGTGTCGCCCCGGACTACGTGCAAGGATTATAAGAGCTCTTTTCCATGGCTATGAGCCATTTAGGACTTGTGTTGTGTCTCATAATAACTTAAAGGATCCAGACGTGTTGGAAGGTCACATGTGCATATCAATGTGGTACAAGCAGGCCTTGTGCAAGAAGCAAACTAAGAAAATCTGGGCGTTTTATTTCAAGTTTTCTCAGAAAACAGCTGGCATGAAAAGTAAACCTCGTTATTTCTCCAAAGAATGGTTGGCACAAGTTGATGACTTGAATTATAATCCTGAAGAGGGACACTCCATTCTTCAAATAAATTGTGTTAATTACCTGCCTGTTTCTCCTGTGCAAGGTCATGTATTGACAAAAGCTTCCATTGGTGTTAGTCGTGACATGAAGCATAACAGCGTTAAGTTAATTTTTCATTCACCTCGTAATGATGGCCGATATAGAAAGGAAGAGGGAAACAGTGTTATCCTTGAGCCAGCATATGATGCTAAAGTTATTCATTGGTGGAGTCCACTTTATCCTCACTATGAGGATGCATTGTAGAGTATGAAACCACTTAGAGTGACCAGCAGCTAATTTCTCTTTGCAGTGATGTTGAATCATTTATAAAAATTATTAGAATAAAGGTAACAATTGCCAACCTAGGAGCTTTGATTTTTAAATGACTCTCCTTGGCTAGCACCAAAAGAAATGTATAGAGAAGAGTATGGAGAATTTGGGTACTGATCTTAGGGTGTAAAGGGTTAACCCTTTAACCATTAAGAATGATTGCATCTCATTTCTCCTTACAGTATCATTATTGAATCAAACACTAAGGTCATGAGAATAAGGGAGATGATCACATGCCAGAGAGGCTCTTAATCATTGAACAAATTCTCCTTGTCAGTACCATTGGAAATGTGTAGGGAACAGTGTGGAGAATATGCACACCAATCTTAAGGTGTGAAGGGTAAATGATTAATACATCATAGTCTAGGTTTACTACAAAGTATAATCAATTCATTGCGAAGACCATGTCAATAATAGCCATTGTAATCAATAAAACATCATCTGCAATATATTATCAGTTTATGACTTTGTCATTGTATAAATTTGGTAAAAAAACCAAACAATTGCGTGTTCATTGACTTTTCAATCACGCAAATATATTTCACATGTTTATAGATGTTTTATTTTATCATAGTAGTAAAATTCCCCAAAATTTAGGTCTAATGCCGGTATTCACTTTTGATTGGCCACTTAAGGACACTCATTTTAATTTGTCTGTAATGCCTTTTAATTCATCAAAAATTGAAAGCATTTTAAAGCGATATTATAAATACTCTGTCTCTCTTATTACACCTGTTCCTCGGCCCACACCGATCCCTTCTCTCGAGCACATTCACTGTGCAGTAATAGGACTGTGTCATATTTTGAAAAAGGCATGACAGGATGGAAACCGCGCGCTCTGTAAGTACCTCCGACCGTACTCGATCTTCGTCAATTTTATCAACTGATTAGTTTTGGAGCTAGCTAGGGGCGTTGTAAATCAAGGCCATGAAACCGCAACGGATGCACTGAGTCAAGATCCGGCGAAGACGACAGGAGACACTTCATAACACGACTTGTACCAAGGACTGGATAGAGATTAGTAGATCTGGCATGTCGTCGGCAAGCGAAGATGCTGCCTTCACTCAAGTGCTTCATTCGTTTTTTCTCATGAAAGTGGCTCAACTGTATTTTGAAGAAAAAAAATAAATGAGCAATCGAGATTGTGCACTGCAATATAAGAGTCATTGATATCAATACGATATTCAGAAGACAGGTAGACAGTGGCGGATCCAGACCTTGAACTAATTTTTTGTCGCTTGCCTTTCCGGCTTTTCTTCCTTCTGCCATTTTTTTTTTACTCAAAATAGAGGGGGGGGGGGGGGGGCTGGCAACCCCCGAGCCCCTCCCCTAAATCCGCTACTGATTAATATTTTGTATATTTCTACGTAAAATCAATACTCTCGACCAACTTACAAGTCTTACTAAGCAATGCATAACAGTTAGAAGGCAGAATTCCTAATCACATCTGGGATTCAAAGGATTGAAGATTGTGCTTTCTCAAACTCCGAGTTCAAGTCAAGTAGATGCAAGGCGTGTAAAAAAAAAAACAGAAAAAAACAGGAGACTTACATGGTTTACATACACAACAGGCTGTTGGAGAAGGGGGTTCAGGAACTGCCGCTAAATACTCACCCTGTAAGGATAAAGAGAATAATACATTGGAAAAAAATTAAAGCTACTGTTTGTATTGAACACATACTTAGGAGTTCAATAGAGACAGCCACTTCAACAAACTTTATTGCAGTAAACGATCATGGTGATACGAGAAAACAAGTCGAGTCTTCATTCGTCTTTCCCTGAAATCCCATTTCTGTTTCGTTTCAAGTCACTACGACGCTCTTCAGCAACTAAAAGTCTGGAAACGTCTCTTCATTGTGTGCGTTAATCAATTACGGGAAATACCGAAAGTTCTTGTGTTTATGAAGTCCTCCCTTCAACTTTCTGTCTTTTTAGACAAAGATCAGGTGAATGATTAAACTTGGCCTTATGAGCTTACTTGTGCTGATGATTGCATGCGATGATGATGATTGTGAATAAATTAACATGTCCAAACAAAAACAAAAAAAACACATTTTTTTCGTGAACCTACTTCTCCACATGAAGTTCCTTTCGTGAAACACATGGACTTTGTTAAAACCAAGAGCCCTAGGCATGCGCTCAGATGACACATGTCGTCTGTAAACCAGGGCGGGTCCTTTGGAAGAGGCTGCGATCATAGGGTTTTAAAAATCATGGATACAGCTAAGCACTGTAATTTTTTTTTGATAAATCTAGCGACAGCTAGGATTAATAGAATATATTAGTAACATTTAAGGAGCATTCGGAATTTGACCTATAAGTCAGTCTTCAACGGAACAACCTGGTTTTGACGAGTCATATAGGGTGGACCACTTTTCTTTCTATCTTTATTCTCAGCCTATGGGAGGAGTGTCTCGATGGGGTTAATAGTTAGCTGTAAAGGGTTCTTGGTTCCACGACTTGTTTTTATTCGTCCCAGAATTAGTTTGGATTAATGTCAATATCTGAGAAACTGCACACCTACCCCTCCCCTAACCCCCCAACATTGACCCTAACTTGTTATCATTTGACTGCTGTTGGGTAAGGGGAGGGGTAGGTGCGCAGTTGCTCGGATACTGATGTTGATCCATTACTTTTGTGGAAGTTTCTTTGGAAGTATTTAAAGCCCGTATTACGTCAACAGAATTTGCACCAAGACTTACAAATTTGTTATTTCCATCTTTATCGTAGCATAGATTTGGTCCTGACCACACCTGTGGCTTGTGCTCCTTTTGCCAACTCTCGCGTTTAAAAATTACACCGGCCAGAGAAAAATGAATAAAAAGAGCTTGGTAAAGAAACAAAAATAAACTTAAAAAAGGAAAAAATTCAACATAAATCTCAGATGACGAGAGTTTTTAAAAAACCTCTACGGATAAAAAGTAACGTTATAAAATCATAACGACAACATCTCACAATTATCAAATGCAAATGAGGAAAGATAACCGTTGATATATCAAGAGAAAACGAAGGTGCGAAATGTGGGAAACAAAAGTATATAATGGTGAAAAAGTGAAACGTTTTTCTGGAGTGTTCAAGGTTGGTCTCTTTCCAACAACATATCTTACAAATAAGGAACTCAAACATTCCGCTGCATTTCGTTAAAATCCTAAATTGTTCGTGATGAGATAACCAAATATAAGCAAGTGTTAAACTCCATTAGGATATACTTAAAGAGTGAATTGCGTGGAGGGCGCGCTCTGACTGGCTACTCAGACTCTGGATATCTTTGCTATTAACATCCAGGAACTCGCTCGGGATTTCCGCCCGAAAATATTGTAATCGTTGCAGGAACAGATGAGTTCAATTCATCTGTTTGTGCTATATTACCTCACTGTTTTGATATATACCGATACAAATATTTACCTTCATGTCGGTGGCTAATGGTGGCCATGGATGAATGGCGGCGCGGCTAAAATGTCCTAAAAGGCTATTGGCGGCTCGGAAAAATACCCACCTCTGGTGAGTCTCAACGGTGTGACGGCTTTTACGGCCAACGGTTAAAATTTTGGCCAATTTACGGCTAACGGTTACCATCTTTCCATTGTCCTTACCAGAAATTTTTTTTACGGTTAACTTTTTTCAAGACTAACGACTAAATTAACGGCCAACCCCATTGAGACCCCCTCACTAACCGCTCACTTCCACTTTGATGAATAGTTGTTAACCATAACATAATCACACGTCCCGTGAGTACGATGTTGTGTTTCACGTTCAAAATACTATGAAATAAAGTAGATTTGGAGGAATTCTTGCACGACAAATTTCTTACCATTCAAGAGAATGTAGATAGCCAACGGGGTAGCCATCGTCACAATATCACTAGTAAGAGACAAAACAATTCATTGTTTACACCAAGAGCGCAAGGTAAATATACCAGTTTTAAATCAACTGCGACTGAAAAGAACCGCACAGAGGTCGAAGCCACTCACCACTAAGAGCTAGTGAGCAACTGAAATAGGTGATTCCCTCTCTTTGACAAGTATGTCGGCTTCATCGCCAAAATTGAGTGCCATAACAGACACTTAAATAGAATACGACAGCACCTTTTTTAAAGTCGTGTTTAGCGTCACAGGTGGTGTGTTAAATTTACTTAGCTAGTGTCATTTTAAACAATTTGACATCAGTGGTAGACTTTTATAGCTATTTAGACAATTAACTACTTTTAAATGGTAGTCTCGAGAACGATATTTTCGGATTTCTCCCATATTAGTGAGTCTTTTTTTTCCTATGAAATTTTATTCTTGTCAGAGTCATTGCTAAAGGCACGGTCAGCCGAGAAATTATCGCCTGGTGAAAGCTGCAGCACGCATTGACGGTCAGTTGACGGATAATGGGCTCCTAAAGATTTACTCGCGCAGGTGTAATGTCGACATCTTTCTTTAGTATTCTCACGTTTCAGAATTCATTAGAATGCAACAAAAGTTAAAGGTAGTCGTTCTCATTCATAATCAGACGTTATGTGGACGCCCGCACAGTTTTAATTCTTGGAACCTTGGCCATATTTGCAGTGCAACAAACTTTTAAGGTCCAGTATGTACCCCTTTTTGAATTGTGGGAAGAGGTCCAAGTGTACATCTGACTTCCGGCTCCCACTAATCATTTGCCCCCCCAAATAAAAGAGAAACATACGGAAAAAAGAATTCTCGTGCTACACAGCTTAGTTGCACTCGTATATTTAACTTGCGACTCTCATCCTCAGAGACGATCTTCGTTGAATTTTCGGGCAATTTTCGGTGCCGAGTTCGGCTGTTAACCTGATGACGACCGTCGACGTTTCATAACATGATTTGTACCACGGACTGGATAGAAACTCTGGTGAGATCTGGCATTACGTGGGCTTAGTGCAGATGCTATCTCTCAACCTTTTCATTCGTTCTTTCTCATCAAAGTGGTTCAACTGCATTTGTAAGACAAAAATAATATAGCAATAAGCAATCAAGATTGTGCATTGCAGTGAGAGAACCAGGTTCTTTGGCTCTCTAACCAGTCCAGTTAACTTCTTCTTTTGATATCGACGCAGTACCCAGAAGACAGGTAATGAGAGATGGCTATTTTTATCTTGACCAACTTACAAGACAATGTGTAACTGTTGGAAGGACGAATACCCAATCACATCCTGGTATTAAAGGATTTAAGTCAAAACAGATGAAAGAATTTTATCAAAACCGTCATTATTTAGTGTGATAAGATTCAATTAACCTTTGCCCTTTCTCGAACTCGTTGAAAGTGGATGCAGGGTATGTTAAAAAAAAAAAATTGAAAAAGAAAGATCAACACGACACTTACATGGCTTGCATACACAACAGGCTGCCGGAGAGGGGGGTTTGGGAACTGCAGCTAAATACTGACCCTGTAAGGACAGAGGGAAGGATACAATTGAAAAAGAAAGCTACGTACCGTTCATATTCTAAAAACACGCTCAAATGAGACAGCCGCCATAACAAACGTTATGTGCCGATCAATCCATAGATCTATAATCTCCTCCCCCCATGGTGGCAACCCACGGACATTTGACACAAAAGGACTTCCTTGGGGGTGGGTGGGTGAGGAGTTTGAACTTGACCGGCTGGGTGGGAAATTTGATCTGGAAGTGTCAAATCTTTCCAGCGGAGTACCGTGTGTTTCAATTTTCAATATGGAGGAGTTTAAAGATAAAGAGTCCGCTTCCGTGGGCTAATGGCTTAGAAAGAAAAGTTAACATCGTACGGAATGATACCTCCATGTCAAAAACCCAACCGTAAAACCAAAAACTACCGAGTGACTTTACCAAATTCTGCAGCATTCAATTTCCTTAATATTAAATTATGCTTGAGTAGGGTATTTGAACGCAATTTTGGCTTAGGAGAGGGGGAATTTGAACGAACTAATCTCCAAAAGTTCAAATGCCCGAAGGATTGCACAGGATAATGTAAAAGCTTCGAGGGATGCATATTGCAGTAGACGTTCCTGGTGTTATGAAGAAAAAAACCAAGCCACTTCGAAGTTCTTCATCGACTAAGTTCGGAAAATAAATACAAGAAAACAATATTTGTAATGAACATACCGGTCCACATAAAGCTCCTTTCATAACACACATGGACTTGGTTAAAACCATTGCTCCTGCGCACACGCTCAGATGGCACATGTCGTCAGTAAACCATGGCGGGTCTTTTGGAGGAGGCTACGATCATAGGGTTCGAAAAAGTTACACATGAATTGTGGCACCGAGCAAGTTTTGATAATTTTAGCGTCAGATGGGATAATTAAAATATTAAGGTAACATCAGGAGCCCATTACTTTATGGGTTCCTGTACCAGGATTTGAAGAGGATTGGGAATGTTCGACTTAATAAAGCTAGACTTCAATGGAACGATTCAGCTTGACGTGACGTGGTTCACTTTCTTGGTTTTTTACAAACTTTGAGGGTTCTTGTCTCAGTTCTACAATTCATTAGGACTTTAGAGGTTTTTAAAGGTATTACTGTTAACAGCATTTGTATGAAGACTTACAAATTTCGGGTTTCCATCTTTATCGTAGCATGGATTTGGTCCTGACCACACCTGTGGCTTCTGCTCTTTTGGCCAACTCCCACGTTTGAAAATTACGCCAGCCAAGGAAAAATGAATAAAAAGAGCTTGGTAAAGAAACAAAAAAAAAAAAAACAAACCAAAAGAAGAAAACATTTAACGTAAATCTCAGATAAAAAGAACACATGTAAACAAGGGTTAAACCGCTTCATAACATCATCGTCATTGTCTGAAACAGTTCTCGAACTCCGAAAGGGCATACATCACAAACAGTTTTGTTATTTTTAGTTTATCATCACCAGTTAAGCTCATTTGATCTGCAGTCATTTCCTGTTCATCAATAATTATTACGTATGGAGAACTTTCATCGCCATTTCTTACCTGTTAATGCTTAGCTTTATTGACTTGATTTGATTGTCATTGATTTTCAATAGCACTCTTTAGGCGCAACTTTAACCTTTTCTTTCACACAATGCAATGATATGTACGCCTAATCACTCCTCCACTAAATCTTTTGTAGAACCAATCGTTTTAGGAAATATCTCAGGTCTAGCTTACTGGGCTCTTCGTTTTCGCTAGAACCATTTAGGAAGTCGTGTTTCACGTTCAAAATATGGCAGTTGAAAATAAATTCAGTGGAACAATTATATCAAAAAAGACGCTTACCGTTAACGAGAACGTTAGTAGTCAAAGAGGTAGCCATCGTCAGAATATAATGAGTTGTAGACAAAACAAGCCGTTATTTACACTGAGAACACAAACTTTACCAGCTTTAAATAAACTGCAACTGAAAAGCGCCGCACATACGTTGAACACACTTACTACGAGCGATTAAACATCTTTGCAATAACTCAAACAAATGAATCCCATCTCTTTGACAAGTATGTCGACTTTAACGCTAAAATGAAATGCCATAATAGGCACTTAAATAGAACACAACACCTTTTCTAAAATCGTGTTTATGTCACAGGTGGTGTGTTATGTACTTAGCCGGTGACACTTTGAACAATTTGACGTCAGTGTTGGACCTGTTCCTGATTGGCCTCTTCTTGATTGAGACAACTACTTTTATCAGAGGGTAGTCTCGAGAGCGATACTTTTGGATTTCTCTCGTAATAGTGAGACGTATTTTTCTTATGCAATTTTCTTCTCGTCAGAGTCATCGCTCAAGGCTCGTTTAGCCAAAATCCGACCAGTTTTCCAAACTAAGTTATCTGATACACGTAATCTAACGTTCTGTCGACGGGAGCTTATATCAGAGTAGTGCTGATGGCCAAACATGAACAGGAGTAGCCCTGAAAAATAATCACTATGGAAAAAGATGATGGTGAACCTTCACTTTAAAGGAACTGATCTCAATTTGCAATACACAGTTGTGCACTTTTGTCCACTGAAATGTTTCCCTCGCAATTATGAGACATAGTTTGCTTTCTCATCCTTTGCTTGTCAAATTAGAAACAATTTCTGCTGAATAAAGCTATCTTACTTTTTTCCGATTGGTTGAGCGATAGATAAATACTTTATTAACTAAACCATCACAGCCACAGGCTGAATTACGCCTAGATTCAATAACAGTAAGATATATTGAAATGTCAGGACCTGAACTGTCTATTTCGCAAATAGATTCCATGATGCCGTGCTTCTGCTCAGCAACAGACCACAGATTATGTCAAAATGTGGCAAAAACACTGAAAAAGGAGCACAGGCGATTGCACAGTCGAGTGTGTTAGTGATGTTCCAACCACACTTTGACGTTCCCCTTGATTTCCCACAACGCAGAGTTACGACAACATGGAATCTAATTGTTTTATATGATAAAAAAGCAGAATATTGTTATTGGGAATTTCATCTATGCGTAACATGGAATCTAACTGTTTTATTTGATAAAAAAGCAGAATATTGTTATTGGGAATTTCATCCATGCGTAGCGATAGCAAAAGCCACGCTGAATGAATACTATTATCGCACAAATGACTGTTGTGACCTAATTACCGGACTATGATAAGAAATATTGATAAAAACGAAGAGCAAAAATATACAAAAACTAAAAAATGGGAAAGAAAAGAAAGCGACAAAAATAAGCTTTACTTCGCTCCCCCCCATAAGATTCTTCAAAACGATTAATTTGTTGTATTATTCGCAACACAATTTAGAGTAGAACGCTTTCCCTCTTGAAATTTATCAATCAATTTCATCAGTATCTATATTCTCCATACTCTCCCCAAAACATTTAATTTTTTTACTGACGAGCAGAATTCGTTTCACAATCAAAGCCTCTTAAGCTGGCGATCGTTTACGCTATTCTTATCATCATACTGAATAATTCAGCTGTATTACTGTAAAGAGAAAATAGATGCTGGTCACTATTTGGCTCGGATTTAAAGGATCAATACAAGATGTACACATGAGACAAAAGTTCAAATCCTTGTGTAAAACACAAGTGAAAGAAATAAAATTTTCTCAATTTCTTGTTCCGCGCTTACGCTTGCGTTTGCATTTGCGCCAGAATCGTTCGCACATTCTTTACCTTGTACTTGCATTTGCGTCGTACGCTTGAACTAGGCTTGAGGATCATCGACGCCAAGTTTATCTTGCCAATAATAACAAAATACATTCGGAAGAAAAGTGCTCCCTGAGAATCTAGGAATAATTATTAAGTTATCCCTTGGTGAAAGCTGCGGTACAATCAGGAGAATTTGCAATTATCTAGAGAGCACTGAGGGTCAGTTGACGGATAATCAGCTCCTAAAAATTTACCCGCACAGATGGAATGTCGAAATCTTTCCAAAATCTTCTCACGTTTTATCGTTCATTGGTATTCAACAAAAGTTTAAGGTATTGGATTAATCTCACTCATTCATATATTCAGAAGTTAACGCAAAGTTTCAATTCTGACAACCTTGGCTTCAGTTGCAATCGAACAAATATTTAAGGTCCGATATGTACCCTACAATGAGTTGTGTCACTGGCTGATCTCTGAAACTCTGTTACAAGTGATCTCATGCTTGATGTCCGCGGAATTCCACCGTCGCTACCCGAAGTCTGACGTCGCGACGCATGCTCATGGCTTTGATCAATGGGACATAGCCCGATGTCGCTCCTGTTTCTACGGTGTCCAAGGTGACGTGGTAGAACGCTAAGGGAACTTCTATTATCAGGTGGACCTGAAGTGTCGGTATTGTCAGGGTTTAGCATTGCGGACAAAGCACGGCCGCTATCACTGGAAATCCTTCGGTGGCCTGCGCGGGCATTGGAGACTGAAGGATGTACGGGGGAACGGTTTTTCCGACAAGGTGGCGGGGTGTACCTGGGCTCATGTTCACTGTTACAAGGCCTTCTATTTTGTCGTGAGGGCCTCACGTGAACTGCCATGTAGGTTGGTTCGTGGATTGTTCTTCGTTGTTCATGAGGGCTTGGCCGCGGGGAATGTCTCGGAGAACGAGGAGATACACTTGCTGGGTCGTCAATATTCAGGGGACACCGTTGCTCATCAACCACCGTTTGATAAACCGGGTCTGTCTCACCTTGTCTGTTTTCTGACCTCGAAGTCTTAGGTAGGTCCTGCAATAGTATATCTTGCGGGGCTGTCCAACTTCTTTTATGACGCCCTTCCCTCTCAGGACTAGGCGTTAAGGGATGATAGATTCCTGAAACAGATCGTGGTCTGTCAATGTTCGACCGCGATCGCGCTTTGTGTCTATCGAGTAGAGGTTGATACATTGCTGTAGATGATCCAGCGGCTTTCGTGTTGTTGTGGTCGATTATTTTATCAAGGCCACCATGCGAAGTCACTTTTGTCTTGTCATCTAAAATGACTTGCTTTGAAAGAGTTAAGGGCTGATAAATTCCAGAACTTGACAATATCGTCTCATCTTCAGCATCAGCGTTGTCAACTAAGATCCCTTGCTTGGAAAAATTCTGGCGGCTGATACTGAGCGGTTGATAAATACTTGCTGACTCAACTCTCTCATTTTCATCTACAGTGTGTCTCAGAGAATTGCACTCGTCCCCAGGTCCCTCTAAAACATGGTAGAACGGTTCACCTACTTGAGCAAGAGGTGTTTTTCTGTCCTTGTTACCCTCCGAATTATTTTCGTTTGAATTCAAGGTACCACCGGGGATGCACTCGGAGGATCCTCGTTGATCGGGTGATCGTCGGAGACTCTCGGAGCTTTCCTCCTCGATCCCACTGTCATATACTAACTCGTCGATTTCGTTTTCGATGAGAACTCGAATTTGGTCTTGAAAGGTTCTGGTTGTCTGCCGTGCAGGCGAATCTCCATGTTCTGAATATAGGATAATGATAGCAGCTTAGAGTTTATATCGATTCTATATTTACCTTTAAGTTAACATGTATTTATTGAGCGGCCTAAATTGTAACAAACAGAGGCATGTTGGATTGAATGGGGAAGCAACGAAATAAACATACATGGGCTAAAGTCTCTGAAATAGAAGGTAGTGTACTGTACGAACGCAATTTGACTCACCACCGATCAGTGCAGGATTCACATGAGCTGAATGGTGATCCTGAAAACTAAGTGGAGGAAAAAACTGGTTCTCATTGGCATTCATGGCCATTCCCCGTTCTTGCTGTCGTCGAGAAATGTCCAGTAAATCTTCTGTTGAATCACGACTTCTGACTCTGCGCACTAAACAAAACCCAAACACTCACGATCAACCCTCTGTGGTGTCACTTGTCTTCAAAAGTACACACGTTTGCACAACACTTAACTAAGAAATCCTGATAACCGATTGTGAATAGAGAGGAGGAGGGCAGGCGTCTAAGAAGAAGGGAAAGTTGTTTAGGCCTACTTATAGTGAGAAAGAACGCAGACTCGAACGAAGACATGGCGTCATATTTATAAAGAATACCATGACCACTTAGAAAGAGAACTTCCTTTCCACTCTGACCATTTTTTTTTTCCGCAACCTATCTAATATCTTGACGGCCCATATCGTTTCATTGCATTTTTTTTAATTTTGCAATAAGCATTTCATTTGTTCAGTTGTTCACATCAGTGCGTTACAAAGACACAACTTTCCGTCGTGCAAAAGAGGGCTGCATGTTTTTCTTGGGTTCAATAAAATCACTTTGAATAAATCACTTTTACCATAGGGCTTTTGAAGAAGACAGATTATAGAGGCCCACTGTACCTTTGTTTTTGCTTTAGGAAGTCTAGAAGACATATCAAAATGGGTACAAAAAACTCGCTTCTTCTACATATTGCTAGTACAAGAAACAGCACTACGTTATTGACGTAATTTTGTGAAAGGGAAAAACTCCTTTGCTGTTTTACCATTTGTTTCTTTTAATTTGATTGTCAGGAAAACCTTATGGAAATTTTTTTAGGTGATTGCAAAGTGTGGAATTCATATCAAATCGTGATTTTCTGGAAATGTCGCTCATTGCCTAGGCTTTTTTGCTAAACTTGTCCTCCACAGGCTACAGTGGGACCTTTTTCAAAACTCCCGCGAGTATGTTATTTTCTCTAAGCTCCGCCTCCTCTAACAATGCAGTACACGATTGGTGATTAGTGCTGAAATTGACCAGGGGGAGCTAAAAGAAATGGTTTAAAACAACTTTATAAAAAGGAATTAAAGATAAAAACGACAGTTTTTTTGGGTGAAAAACAACAAATGAGAGAGTTGAGCATCGAAACTTACTAATACCGCGTAAATAGTGTTTGTCACTGATGAAAAAGAAAGGCAGAACATCTTGTCTCATACCGCGTGTAACTTAGACCAATTAGAAAAGAACAACTGAAACAGCAGATCAATTTACAAAAGAAAGCTAGGTGCTTTCGCGCAACTATCAACACAAAAATTTATCTAGATTCTAGAGGCATTCTCTTTGACTTTCAATATGAACCAATTTCAGCGATGTTCATCTTTTTAGTGCGCTAATGCGCCATCTAATACGACCCTTGCCTTACCTGAGATGGTCCTTGCTGGGGACGAATTCCTTAGGACAAAGAATTGAACAACAAATTAGTAAAAAAAATGTTTTTAGTCACAAGCAAGCAAGAATGACCATGTTTGTATCCTAACTATGTTCCTAATTTGAATGAACATGCTGTACCTGGTGTGAAATGGTTCCATTTCAAACGCTTCTGAATCCGGATCAGATTTCACCCGTAGGCTTCCCTTCCTTGGCCTGTGTATTAAATTACTTTTAGTAGGAGTAAATCTCTTCACAATTTCAAACAGAAAAGCATTAGCTACAAATTATCTTGTGATACTACCCACCCATACAGCGCCGTAGTTTCCTTAGTAACTACCCCTATATTCATTTATCAGTGTCACTGACAGATCTCTTACGTTTTAAACACACGCAGTAGATACGAAACCTTTCAAATATCAAACTTTTTTTTTAGAAATTCCCGTTGTGAACCATATTTTTAGTCTTACTAAGTTGTGATAGTGTTTTTTGCAAACGACAGTTTGCTCCATGCATCCTCAAGTAAACACTGATTCGTGATCTCGGTAAAAACTGCATTAGCTAAGAATTCCCTTGTAAAGCTTATTAAGTTACCTGCTTCTATGAGTTTTATAACAGACAGCTGTAAGTGCAGCCATTGTTAGGACAACAGCACCACCCACTACTGCTCCATACAACGTCAAGGGCGTTTTTCCTGAAAAAAAGGAACATTTAGATCAGCACAAACCAACACTCTCTGACAGGCGGCGCGAGCAAGAAAAGTCGATTATAGGATAATCATCTGTAGAGGTCGGTTAGTGAGAATCGACCCCAATGATCCTTAGAGGACAGTTATATTTATTGTGATAAACCAAAACCAAAGCAATCACACACATTAAAGACTGCTGCAAACGATCCGAAGGGCAAAAAAATAAAAGCGATTGAGTCGTAATTGGTGTTAGTTTTCTTTTTTATCTGAGTGGTTGCAGGGTTCATGCGTGTGTTTATCACAGGCACTGCTTTCTAAGTTCAGTTTAATATCACTCTGTTGGACTAGTGAGACCAGACATCTTATCACCACGGTGCGACGAAATGATTGCAAAAGCTTTCAAAATCACACGAAGATCTTAGAGAGAGCAAAGTACTTCTAGAGGGATAAAGCGGATCATGCATTCCAAGCGTACATGAATTAGAAAAGTCGAGTAGAACCTGAGCTCCTCGCAGTAGTCATCCCACCCCGCTGCATGCTGTACCCTGAGGTCAGAGGTATTGGGCTTAAAAATTCAGAGATGACCATCTAATAGAAATTGTTAATAACGAGCACTCATGAATAGTGAAACACTCTAACACTATTGACATTATGGTGAAAAGTTGATCAGTGAAAGATATGATGAAGAGTATGTTTCTTAGGTTTTTTTATCAGGCTTGTAATCATTAGGGCCTCAATGGAAAATTTGCTTATTCTCTTTAAACAATAATTACCACTTTTTTCTGTGCCATGTGAAGCCACGGCGGAGCCCACAGTAGTCTTCTTATGGTGCAGCAGTGTAGCTGTTGGCTTGCTAGACTCATTTGGTATCACGGTAGTATTTGTTATGGCCGGCTGCCCGATGGCGAATGTTGTCGGAATGTTCTGTTCCTCCTCTGTAGTTACTCGTTCAGTGAAATCTGATATTGAAGATGACGTCACGCTGGTGGACCTCAGAGATGACGGCTCTGTTTTAAGTTGTCCTAGGGATAAATAAATAGAAACTTTTTTAACATTTGTAATGTAGGAAAGGAGATATAAACAAAAATGAGAGAAAAAAACCTTTATATCACGACCCACGTCCTGATCACGGATCTGCAATCGGTGCATACAAATATATATGCATGCAAATTTTTCAGCATGCTCATTGGCTGAGGACATGTTAGCCAATCAAAAACAGAGGAGAAAGGTGAAACTTAGAGAAGAAGTTTGTATATTACAAATAAATGGATGGACGATTTCATGATGAATTTGGAATACGTGACCTAACTGGATTGTGCAATATGTTGGCTTTGAAGGATTTAAGCTCATGCTCTTTCATTCCAAATCTGTACAAACAGTTAAGAAAAACCCAAAGAAGACAATAACAACAACAACAACAACAAAAACCCACGCAGTCTTTCTTTAATATAGCCTCCCAAATACCTGACAATTGATCAGAATACTGCAATACTTCTTTGGTTGTTTCATAGGTTAAATAAAACAAGAAATCTTAAATGAATGAAGGTTAAGATGTTAATTAAGGTTTTGGAAAATAAAATAATGCTGAAATGCTGTCTGTATAGTCAATTCCTTCTTTTATTATTATTATTATTTTTTATAACTCCCCGTTAGCATCGCAAAAAAAATAAAGCCCCGTGAAATGCCAACCCGCAAAACTTTCACAATTTAGGGCGGATTTTCTTCACTTTTAATTCAGGCAAAACTTAATAAGGACAGATTGTGAGAAGATTATGGTTTCGTTTCAGGACTACAGCAAATTAAATTAAAATTGTTAGGCCGGTGACATGATTATGTGACATTACGAGATGTACTGTTGGTGGACACCCAATCACCTCTCCTAAAGTTTTGCCCTCGAAAGGCAAAAATGATAACAACACAAAACAAAAAGCACCGAAATACACTTATATTTAGGTCCACTTTTGGCAAAAGAACATTTACTTTGTGAACGCCCTTTGTGATGACAGTAGAAAAAATATTAACACTCATCATCAACTTAAATTTTATAAGGCAGATTATATAATATCACCTCAGTAATACGTCAATAAAGGAATTTGAAAATTTCTCATTTATTTCAAGCCGGGAAAATAATTTGCACTCGCTACTAGAAAATTAGGATTTGCCGCATAGCAAGAATTTATCGTCGATTAACAATGAATATCGTGCTGTGATATGACAGCGTGGAGGTTAGTTAATATTTGCAAGAACTGAAGAATCTTCATCTTTATTCCTACGGACTAAGTATTGAAATAAAGCTTGCTAAGGTAAGGTACGGCTTCCCTTTATACATGAGATATAGAATGTATTTGGAATTCAGTAGGTAAACTTTTAACCGAAGAAAATCGAAGTAAACCGAGAGCAGAATATGCTGCACGCTGTGAAATATTTTTCTTCCAGGATGCAAAAGGATTTTGACACTGTAACTAACCTTCCATCGCGTTGCAATTAAGCAGAAGGAAAAGCCCGTAGCTCAAAAGGATCTTTAGATAAATACCCATCACCATTTTACGAAGTGTTGATTCCAAGGCGAATGAGGTTATTCTGTGTAGATTATTCCAGAAACATGCTGCGATGGAGGGGAAAGTGCACTGACTAGCGCGTGACACTGTAGGTTGACGGCTCCAGGTGACGCCCCTTCTCATCGGGGGTCTTCATCATTTCTGTCCTCGCTAATTGTTTATTTTTTACCTTTTTGTGTTGTCAAGATAGTTTCCTTAGACAAAGAGGAAAACAGTAAAGAAAACATCGCGTTGTGAGGTATTTTTTTAATGCTTTGATTACATACAATAAACAAAAATCATTCTCGTCTGAGTCATTGTGAATTGCGTGACAAAAGTGACAAAACCTTGCAGACATCAAGTTATTTCTTCTTCTCGGGCTATTAGTTACTATTTTTAGTTCTGCGAGAAAATCTCCGAACGAAAAGGAAATGATCAAAAAAGCTATTGCAAGACTATCTTATTTCTTGGCTAAACCCAAATAAATATTGCTGTGCCAATAGATAGGTTTTGACATTTAGCCCGAAGTGCCAAAAGGAAGGGCAAAAACAACCACATGTCAACAAGATGGGAAGTTTAAAGGGGCAGGATCACGACCCGGACATACTCATTGGGTTCATCTCGCAGATTTCCTCTCGAACAAGTTTTCCTATATTCTGTATTACATTTTGAAAGAGCATGAAGAAATGCAGAATAGTTACCGCTTCTGGGTGTACTTTGCAGGCCGAGAGTGAGAGCTGAATGCTGTTATTTTAAATTATGTTCTTTCTTGAATAATTATTCCGTTTATGAACATCACGATAGGGTTATTTGATTGAGAAATGAGGCCACGAATAAGACCTTGAGTTTATTAAAGATAGTCCACCCTTTGATCCAGAAGGAAAATGTCTAATTTTGCTCCAATTCCAATGAAACCTGACCGGCTTTGACTGAACTATTTTAGGTAGAGGAAGAACCTCTGAGAAAGCGGTATAATTGGGGAATGAGACAGAAAAAAGCAGCAAAACGACGCATGATCGGGGAGCCTTCTTTCCGGGATGGTTCTATCCATTTGGCTACAACAATTGGACTGTTGATTATATAGTACAACGTATGTGATAAATGATGCAGTTAACCAAAGTAAACTTACTTCAGATACCCCCGTTAAAACTCCACTTAATAACAAGAAGTGAAATGATTTTGCTTTGAATTTATGTGGTGAAAAGCAGTAAATACACTATAGAACTAAGAGCACATATTAGAGAAGTCTGTCCTACACTGATTTAAAGCGAGAGGGAGCCTGCAGTTGTAACCAATAACTTATCAGTTTGAATGATACTATTTCTTGCCTGAATCATCATTGGAGTCAGGTATGGTTCAACCGATCAGACACAGTATAATGCAAATTATCGAAGACTCAGAAACATTCTGTCTCTGATACTAATAACCTGTCAACAAAATTTCAAAGGTAAAGTTCTTCTAAGAAGAAACTGTATCTAAACCTATTAAGGAACAAAATCGAAAGATTATCTGATCTGAAGGCTTCCTTCCAAATTAATTGGAAGACCAAACAGCTGAATTATACTAACGTTTTATGTTTCAAGGGATATACTCCCGCTCATGAATTGTACCCAGAGTACGCCGTCAACTCAATATTTCCTTCTTCCTTATTGATGATATCCAGAGTTGGCCTAATCCTCGTTAATTCTTGTCCACTTTCCTGCAGTGAGAATCGAGGAACGCGACATCTTGAACAGACCGATCTCAAGCCTTGACGGAAACTCTCAATAAATATGAAATACAGCAAAGGGTTAAAGGCGCTGTTGTTACAAATGAGCCAGAAACTTATACCATATAAAAGGGGGTGTTGCATCAAAACTACTCCAAACGTCCGACTAGCGTTTCCAAAGACCAAGATAAGAAGAACAACTAAAGCTGGTGCCCATGAAACAAAGAAGACAACTACAACTGATATCATTAAAATAGTGACCTTTCGTGCTGTACGAATCACAAGTTCCTTTTGATTGCTGGGAATCTCACCAGGAATGTTTCTTCTCCAAAGACGATAAGAAATCACTGAATAAAGC